CCGTCTTGACTGGCAGTTAATTTGCATATTGCCCTGATTAGCCAGTGGGAAGGGTAGTGGTCATACACCAATTACCATGTTTCTCTTTTATTAGATAGGATTATGCATTCATGTTGCATTGTATTTTGTTGTGCAGGGTTATACACACACAACCACACCTACTAGTCTTTAACGTATTATAAAAGTTAAGCTATGATCCCCTCACTGCCAGCTTCAGAACTGAACCTCTGCGGAATGATCTCCTCACTGCGATTCTTCCCTTCCATGGCTAGGCTTGAGGATGAAGCACTCACAGCATGCTCTGTTGTCAACACAGAACTAATTATGTGTGGAAAGCCTCTAAAGTGGGGACTTTTTAAGTAGAGGTGGGGCCCACGCCTTATGAAACGAGGTCATGGTTTGATTCCCAGTCAGGGCACATGACCAGCTTTGGGCTCCATCTCCAGTGGGGCATGCACGAGGCAACCAATGAATGATGCTCTCTCATCATTGATGTTTCTCTCTTCCTCTCCCATCCTCTCTGAAATCAATAAAAATATATTAAAAAAAAAATAGAGTGGTGAAATTATGTGAGGTCCAAAACTGGGTTATATTAGTCATGTACATCACAAGCACATATAAACGGAAACTGGCCAACAGTTTATGATCATTTATGTGCTTATTTCATTACTCATTCTTTAACAATGATGTTAGCTGGATCTTTTGCTAGCTTCCCTGTCCATACAGGTTTTGTCGCTGGGCCTTCTCATGCTCTGTTCACTCATTCCAGTGGCATTCCTAACCATTAGGAGGTCCTCGTCGAGCTAAAATGGGACCCAGGGGTGCTGTTAGATTTGTGTCAGCAACATCTGACTTCAAATAATGATAATCACCTTGTTCAACACAATTTACTAAAGAACTTTTTTATTACTTTAAAAAATATTTCAAGAGAAGAATTTTTAAGTGCAATACCAAGTCATTTTATGCTTGTATAATTAGTAACATAATTTCTTCTTATTTGGTGGCTAATTAGTAATTTCTTATACCCTCTCCCCCAAAGTTTGAGAGCAAAAGAAAGCTTCTTAAAAGTTTTCAAGATTGTGCAAACATAGCTTCATGCATGATATGTTTGTTTTCTTTAAGGGAAAGAAAGAGTTCCAGGTATCCCTCTTCCAGACTCTGGTGCTTCTCATGTTCAATGAAGGGGACGGATTCAGCTTTGAAGACATAAAAGTGGCCACTGGGATAGGTATGAAAACACTTTTATGAATGTGTGGTTTTTGAGTGCCCTTGTTTTTAAACACTCGTTTAAGAGAAGATGTAGACTGTGTCTCTGCTTGTTGCACTTGAGAGAGTGGTTTCTTTCATTTTTATTGTGTCATTCATTTTAATGCTAATCTGTGCCTGCATTTTTCTCCCCATCCAGAGGACAGTGAATTGCGGAGAACATTACAGTCACTGGCCTGTGGCAAAGCACGAGTTCTGATTAAAAGTCCCAAAGGAAAGGAGGTAGAAGATGGAGACAAATTCATTTTTAATGGAGATTTCAAACACAAGTTATTTCGAATAAAGATCAATCAAATTCAGATGAAGGAAACCGTATGTATAAACTTTCTCTTTTTACTTATAGGGAGGATGTTCACCAAGGAATCACTAGTTTTTATAATTTCTTGACTGTAAGAGTTCTGAAGCATATTTCTAAAGTATCTAATTTGAATACAGTGTTTATAAGAGTATTCATTTTAATGTAGCTTTTGTTAACTTTATAGTCACAAGAATGAAAATCAAAAAGAAATGCATTTAAGTTATTCACAAAAGTGGTATGATAAATCAGAGCTTCCTATATCAAAAATTCTGTTAGTGGAGAGAGCATGTCATTTCCAAAACCCAGTGACTTGTCTTTTTATTTTTGCACAGCACATTTCAGCCATTCTCTCAGCCTCGGCCTCAGCCAGGGTCCTGGGGTGGAAGTGGTAAGAGTTGTGGGTGTCAAGGACCCACTGACATTGTATCTGTGATCTGTGTACAGGTGGAGCATCTGTAGCTTTGATCAGATTCTCAAGGTTCGTGTCCAGAGCAGGTTCTGGCCCACTGCCCTCAGGCCCTTCCTAATGCAGAAGTCCTTGCACCCCTGGGCTGTTATCAAACATACAGACCAGGTGGGCAGGCCCACCCCTGGCACCCCACTTATATAACAGGGTGTCCAGCTGGCCCCCTTGTACATGTTAATGACTTGAAGAGAGGCCTTTTGAATGAGTGAGGTCAATTCAGACAACCCAAGGGCAGCTTTCATTGCTCTAAAGTGGTATCACAAATACTTTCTCCACCTCCAGCAGAAGACAGTGATTGCTTTACTTACATAGAGGTGTTCAAAGTAGCCTTCAGAAAATATGTTCAGACTACACAAAAGAAATAAAAACAAAAACAATAAATATATAAAAGATGTTCATTCTCACCAATAATTTTTATGAAATTCAAATTAAAGTAACATTCCATTTTTAATTTGTCACTTTGGGAAATGTTTAAAAGTTTGTCATATCCAGGGCTGGTAATATATGCGAAAACAGATATTCTTTTTTAAGGGTTTTTTTGTTTGTTTTTGTTTTTAAATATATTTTATTGATTTTTTACAGAGAGGAGGGGAGAGGGATAGAGAGTTAGAAACATCGATGAGAGAGAAACATCGATCAGCTGCCTCCTGCACACTCCCCACTGGGGATGTGCCCGCAACCAAGGTACATGCCCTTGACCGGAATCGAACCTGGGACCCTTCAGTCCGCAGGCCGATGCTCTATCCACTGAGCTAAACCAGTTAGGGCTGTTTGTTTGTTTTTTAAGATGTTTGACATACACAGACCTGCCTATCCCCCACCCTTCTTTGATCTGCGGGCTCCTATTAGGTTGTTTAAAAAAAAATATATATATATATATATACACACACACACACACACACACACACATATATATATATACACACACACATATATATATATTTTTTTTAGTTTCCGGGAGGAAGGGAGAGGAAGAAAGAGAGAGAAGCATCAATGAGAAGAATCATTGATCGGCTACCTCCTGCATGCCCCCTACAGGGGATCAAGCCCACAACCCGGGCGTGTGCCCTGATTTGGCATCAAACCATGGCCTCCCTGTTCACAGGTCAATACTCAACCACTAAGCCACTGTGGTTGGGGTTTTTTTTGTGGGTTTTTTTAACCATCAAGTTGTTATCAGCCTTTGCTGTTTGCTTCTGGTAACAGCTCTTAATCTGTTCAAGTTCTTTTATTTTTTCTAATTACTCCTTATATATTCAAGTTTGTTTTAAATCAAGAATAGATTTTCAGTTTTGTCTTGCCTTATCAAGGTGATTATAATCTAACCTTGAAATTATTGTGATAATTTCAAAAAATTATCACATTAGTAGATTCCCAATGCTGAGAAAAGTTTACATTTCTGGAATAAATTCTGATGGCTAGTATGCTTTGTTTTGTTTTCATTACTGTGCTCCTGGATTTAATCCAGGACTATATAGGGTTTTTACAGCTTTTCTATAACTCTTTAAATTATTTTTCAATGTTTGGTACTGACGTTGCACTCCTTGGAAGCTAGGTTTTATTAGAACACAATGCATAGCAGAGCAAGATTCATTTAAAGTTTGGCCTTTCTTGGCATCAAAAGTTTCTAGTCAACGTCAACAGTATGACATAATTAATACTAAAATATATCTTTACACTTCACTATTTGTGCAGGTTGAAGAACAAGTCAGCACCACTGAGCGAGTGTTTCAGGACAGACAGTATCAGATTGATGCTGCCATCGTCAGAATAATGAAGATGAGAAAGACTCTAATGGACATTCATTATCAGTAATTGTAACAATTCAGGTTATATCACAGGATTTTAAAGAGATCATGCTAACTAATAAGCATTTTGCAAACTACAAAGCATTCTTTACCTCAGTAATATATCTTCGTTGCTATTGAGTAAAAAGTCTACCCTAAAACCTTTCAGTCCAAGCATATTTCCAGAACTGAGACCTGTCCTGGCTGTATATGGAGTACAGGATAGGATAAGTGAGGGAAGCATTATGAAGAGCTTTAAAGCATGTATAAATCCACCTAGAAAGTATGGGACTCTCATGACACCTGGCCTTTCAGTGACTAAGCCTGCCACATGTGCTTTTGAGGTGCAAGTACCCTGAGTTTGTGTTGTCCAGTTTGATAAAAGACCAGCTGACCCTCCCTTCTCACCAAGGGAGTCGAGGTGGACCAATGAGTCTCAACACTGAAATGGCAGGTGAGAATGCCATCCTGCCCCAGCAAATATTGGGTTTCTGTACTCTGCAGAGGCAATGTGTGCTCCACAGTGCTCTGCACAGTCATGGAACACTGCCTCATACACCATTCCTCCCTACCATGAGCCAGGGAGAGTGTTGATTTTCCCCTCTGCAGATGAGAGGCCCAGCAATTAAAAGACTAAATAGCAAGTAAGGTGTGCATACAGCCATAGCGCCTAGTTCTATTTTGATAGGTAATTGGGCTTCAGCCACATATTGTAAAATGTATGGTGTATCACTGAATAGAAAGTTACGATGTTTGGAAGAAAGAACTTACAGGTAAAAAAGACTTGCTCATAATTGTCAGCATAATCGTGCTTCCTAACAGCAGAAGCCAGAGGGCGCTCTTCCTGGGCTGACATGTCATGGTGTAGACATATATCAATTCAGTCATCTACTTTTAGCAAAGGAAAACTCAGAATTTGTGATTGTACTGTATAAATATAGCATATGTAGTAAATATTAGTTCTTAGGGAGAAATATCCTTAACAAATGAAGGTGCCTTGAAACATTATCATATTTCCCTTTCAAACAAACAGGATCTGCCATGTATATATATTCATTAGTGATCATAAATAATGTATTTACATTTCACAAGTTTCATATTTCCCACAGGAAGGCCTAAAAATTCACATGGAGCACTTTGATCGAGAAATAATGTTAACATTGTCTTTGAAGTAGGAAGTTTTAGTCTCATTTTATAATTACAAATAAATATGTATATTTATATAATTATGTGTAAAATGAGCATAATTATAAATCACATATTTCATGCATGATGTTATATTCCCGTTTGCAAATTTAATTCCACTGTAATTGGGTGTGTGTGTTTTTTCTTTTTTAGCCTGGAGATTTGAAAAAGAGAATTGAATCTCTTATAGACAGAGACTATATGGAGAGAGATAAAGACAATCCAAATCAGTACCATTACGTGGCCTGATGCATCGGCCAGCTGTTTTCTCTCAGTGAGACACTGGAATGTATCTCCAGAGCAGTGAAACACCTCTGTGCTGTTTTAAGGGTTTTCTGGGATTGAGCCAGCACAGATACTTTGGATTCGAAGGAAAGGAGATGATTCTTGAATAACCCTTCACAAGGCTTAAGGATTTGCAAATGGCATATATATCTTTTCACCCTCCAGTTCTTCCTCTTGTTCTTTTAGGCATTTAAGTTGTTTCCATTGCTCTGTGCAGAATGACATTGGGATTGGACAAGAAGATACTGGTTAAATGAGGTTCCTTTGTAAGGTGGTGTTCTTGTGGCAAAAAAAACTGAAAGTTTGGTTTGTTTTTGTGTGTGATCATGAATGCACAATAAAAAGACCCTCTATGCTGCATTCTTTAGCTACAGAGATTACTTAGGTATTCCTGAAGATAAGCTATTTTAGTTGATGAACACTTATATTAAAACAAGAACCCTTAATTGGTGAACATTAAGAAGAAAGTCAGTGTTAAAAACTGGCTTATTAATTATGCAATCTAAATACTGGCATCTGTTTTTCATTTATTTTTAAAAAGTTTTAAACTTTAATGACTGATTTTTCTATAATGAGGTTTCTCAGTGAGATCTCTGATGTGCCAAGAGGACATCGGGTCTGATGTGTTTGGAGCAATGAACCCATCAGCGTCTTTATTTCCACTGAATTATTTGTGAATTTTCTTTTTATGATTTTGAGGGAATAGTGTGTTTGTGTTTACCATTCTAAGATTGAGTCTAGCAGTCCCTGTATTTTGCATTGGGGTAACTGCTGTTTGATTTTTTTTTTAATTGCAGTATTTGTATGAATGGTATAATAAAGTTTGGTTTTGTTCTTACAGTCACGCACAGGGACAGTCGTCATTCTCTGTGCCATAACCACTGTAAAATGTTTTATAGGAGACTTAAAGTCTTTATTGTGAAGCAGAGGTTATTTTGTCAAAAGATTAAAAGGATTTCATTGGCACCTGGTTTCATGTTGTGTATGTATAATGAAGTTGAATAGCAGATTATGTTAGTATGGTAACTATAACAAAGATACTTTTAAATAACATTTAAAACTACTTTATATTTTACATAATGGCATGTTTCATTTTTATTAAAAACTACCAAAGGAATTTTGATCATGGTATAAGTGTTTAAAGCAATATTTTCTGGACTATAACAAGTTTATATAATTTGATTTTGTGCTAAATTATTCAAAGATTCTGCATTTTTGAAACATGCGTGTTTAAAATATGACATCTTATGGGTTTCCATATGAAAATCCTCTATCATCATTTCTATATTTGTAAATTTTCATATGAGTTCTATGATATATGGTCTATAAAACACCAAATAGATTTCTACTTATATTTTAAGTTCACTGTCTCTAGCGATTAATATTGTAACTTAATGTAGACTTACTCTGAATAAAATTAGTTTAATTGGCCTTAAAATTACATTAATAAAACTTTGTGGTATGCAGATGACATTCCTCATAAATCTTTAGCAATTTAAAATTCATTACTAATACAACAGACAGAACCAGAAGCAGGGCAAATGCCCATCACCCTCTCAGGTAATGATTCTTTCCTGTCTGCTTTCACAAGCTACCCAGCAAAACATCAGCAGACTGGTCTGGCTTCACAGTGAGCAACATACTGTGCCTCTTATTGTGCTTGTTTTTATCCATTCAATTATCAGTATCATTTAAAGATTTACTATAATTAAATATTAATGTAGTAAAACAGTGTAGAGAAAATGATTGAAAAAGAAAAGACACTTAAATGAGAAAAAGGCTATAAAATTGGAAATGAGAAAGTGAAATTATTTACAGATATGATTCCCTGTAAAATCTAAGAAGTAACTAAAAAGCTATGACTAAAAAAAAGGGAAATTCACTAAGTTTTTAATTAAACACAAAATTAACAGAAAAGTCAAAATATAATGGAAGACCGTTTTTTCAATAAGAGCAAAAAATGGTAATACCTAGTAACAAGAAAATATCTATGCTATATGAATTTTATTTTTTCAATATGTTTTTATTGATTTCAGAGAGGAAGGGGGGGAGAGAGAGAGAAATGTCAGTGATGAGAGAGAATCATTCATGGGCTACCTCCTGCACTCCCCCACCCCCCTTTCACACACACACACATAGACACACTGGGGATTGAGCTGGCAACCTGAGCATGTGCCCTGACCAGGAATTGAACCACAATCTCCTGGGTCATAGGTCAAAGTTCAACCACTGAGCCACACAAGTCAGGCTGAAAAGCATTATTAAATGATTTATTCCTGTATTTGTGCAGTATTTTAAGATGTCAGATGTCCCTTATTTTAAAACACAGACCTGGTGATCCTAAAGTTAAAACAGAAAAGCAAATAGGCAAGAATAGTCAAATATTATTTTAAAACCTATAACACTGTGTAATTAAAACACCATACTGCTGGCACATAAATGGACCTCTGGAACCAAATAAAATCCATAAATGAACCAAATACATGAGAATGTGCGTGACATCAAGGGGCATGTCGGGGAAAGGAAATTTCAACAAATAATGCTGGCAAAATCTGGTTCATCAGCTTGAAAAAAGCAAAGTTAGATTGTACTCATTTTTTATACTAAGTCCCAAGTGGTCAAAGTTTTAAGTGTTAGGAAATGAAACCATAAATTTAAGAGAAGATCCTTTTTTATTCTCAGAATGGAAAAAAGTCTAATCTCAAATTAAGATCCTTTTTTTAAAAATGATAACCTAAAAGTCTACATGGGGAAAAATTTTAAAGCCTGGAAATTTTTGGATAAAAAGACAATATTAACTATTTTAGTGTATAGAGAATTACAAGTTAGCAGGAGTGAGACTAATAACCTGTGAGATAGTAACCTGTGAGACTAATAACCTGTGAGTTTTTCAGAGGGAGAAATACAGTGAATAATGGATTGTGATTTCAAGAAAAATGAAACGGAGGAAAAGTGGAATCCAAGGAGGTCATTTTGAGACAGGCTTGTTCACCAACTTTGCCAGTATTTGGGTGTCACCCTGGAGAGAGGCATACTGTCCCAGAAGGGAGCACAGAGGACAGGCGAGGCCCCTCATCACCCCTTCCCTGCTTGAATGCAGCAAGGGAGGAGGGGGTAGGTGGGAGTTGGAGCAGGTAAAGGCCAAAGCCAAGTCTGTCTGATGGGGTGAGGTGGCTGAGGGCAATGGTGGGGATGAGGGCTGGACATTGGAATCGGATAACCGGAAGGTAAACAGGTCTGTGCTCAGTGAAGGGCTGAAGAACTGGGTTTGGAGGGAGCTCATGTAATTACAGGATCTGGGGAAAGAAAGGGGGCTGAAGTGAGATCAAAGCTGCATCAAGAGTGATGACAAAGCAGCACAGAGAACTGCCAGCGAGTGATGGGCAGTGACCAAGTGCCTGGAGGGGAAGTGATGCCCCTTGGTATGTCCTTCAGAGATGCGGGGGGTGGGGGTGGGGTGTGGG